CTTATCATGCTATTAGCCTCCTGTCTTTCCTTTTGAAAACAATGGAGAAAATAGTGGATAGGCATTTCAGGGACGGGGCGTCAAGGACATATCCTCTACGCCGAAACCAGAATACATACCGAACAGGTAAATCTACTGAAAGTGCACTACACAATGTGGTAACACACATAGAAAGTGCGATTGAACAAAAGGATATTGCCTTAGGATCATTCCTTGACATAGAGGGAGCTTTCGATAGAACCTCATTTGATACAATTAAACAGGCTGCTGGAAAGCATGGCATAGAGCCTGCAATATGCAGGTGGATCAGTGCTATGCTGGAAAGCAGAACCATAGCTGCCACTATCAGGAGAGACCTTGGGGACGTCTGCATCTAGGGGGTGTCCGCAGGGGAGCGTGCTCTCGCCTCTGCTGTGGAGCCTGGTCATTGACGATCTCCTGTGGGGACTTTATGATGATGGGTATTATACAGTAGGATATGCTGATGACTTAGCAATCCTCATAAACGGAAAATTCCTTTCGACTGTATCAGAGCGTCTTCAAACAGCTCTGTACACGGTCCAACGGTCATGTGAAAGAACAAGCCTTCCATCAATCCCAATAAGACAGTAATTATACCGTTTACCAGGAAGAGAAATATAAAGGGCCTTAAGGAACTGACCCTCTTCAATAAGATGATCCAGCTCTCCAGCGATGTCAAGTACCTTGGTCTAGTATTAGACAAGGGACTGACTTGGAAAAAGCAGCTGCATAAGGTCATCAATAAAGCCTATAAGACTTTTTGGACATGCAGAAGCATGTTTGGTAAAACTTGGAGACTGCAGCCACACGTTGTGCATTGGATATACACTGCAGCTGTAAGATCCATAATTATATATGCAGCCACAGTATGGTGGCCCAGAGTCAAACTCAAGACGAGTAAGGCAGAACTTAGCAAACTGCAATGGTTGGCTTGCTTGGGTATCACAGGAGCAAGTCGAAAATCTCCAACAGCTGCACTGGAGATACTCCTTGGACTCCCCCCACTGCATACAGTTGGAGGCAGAGGCCAGGGCAGGAATCTACCGTCTCCAGTGCAGTGATCAATGGAAACCTAAATCTGATAGTTTCGGACATGCACACATAACTCAGGACATGAAAAAAGAACCCATATTACAAATGGGTTCTGACAAAATGATACTGAGACATGTATATGAAAAAGCATTCAGTCAGATTTCCTAACAGGAGTGAATGGGAAGACGGGTTTCGGCCCAATAGAAAAGGGGGACTGATCTGGTATACAGATGGTTCCAAGATAAATAAGGGCACTGGAACTGGCACGAGGTGGAAACTTATTACTATTACTATTATTATTATTATTATTATTATTATTGGAGGGGTGGGTTTCCCCATGCACAGCGACCAGTGGTCTATTGTACGTGCCCTCTGTGATATTCTACCAGTGTCTATACCATACCGATACTGGTTTGTGCCATCAGTCCCGACCCAGCCAGAGAGTTCGGCCTCTA